ACGGTGTGGTCTTCAGAGTTAATAGCGTCCAAGGAAGCCTGAAGAGCTGTACGGGTGATAGTCCTGCCCTCTGTGGTCATAGCCACAAACTCCTGACATGCCTTGGTGGGAAGCCTATCTTTAAACTTATTGCCTGCCATGTGTTATAGGTGTATCGGCTCAGCATTGCCTGCTGGTTAGCAATGCGCAGCTGTACCCCACCAGTGGCATACACCTTACGCCCCATCAGGTCGAGGCGTTTGGGCTCTCTAGCCTTCGGGGACGGCCCCGGCTGCGGAAGTCTCTCCTTCTGGGCTGCGGCTTGGACTACCAGGGAACCCAGGACAGGCTGGGAATATAGGTGCTCGTGCCCCGACTGCAGGACATAATAGCGCCTCTCGACTCCCTTTAAGGTATGGGTTAGAGAAGCCGGAGTCTGCCACAGGGCGTTAGTGATCTTAGCGACAGTTTTGTTGAGCAGCAAAGCTAAACGGGCCAGCACATCGGACAGGATGTCTATTATGGGATCCATGTCCTGCACTACTGGCTCCACCGGGTCACCCAGGTTGGAAGCCAGATGCCGGAGCAGATCCTGATGCGACTGAGCATCCATCATCGGCATCACCGGTGCGGGATACGCTAAAGCTTAGTCAGGAGATGAGTACGACGACAACTTCTGGAGCGGCACCGGATTCAGCGTAGGGCCCGATGGAGGGGGTGCGTGTGGAAGTGGGTCCGGCACCGAAGTCTGCGGATCTCTAGGGGCATTGACAGTAGCAGACCTCTGGGGCGAGGGAGGGGGTCATGACAGCGACGCCGACAGAGGTGCCCGGAGACACTCGACACCGCGGAGGGGGGCACAGGCCCTTGCCATTGGTGGTATGCCCACAGCTTCCAAAAAGGCCAATGCGGCTAAGACGGTCAAGTCTGCTGCACGCGTGAACCGTCACGCCGATGCCGGAAACGGGATCTACGATGTGACGAAGCTCTCAAGGACTCCGACCTGAAAGATCGCACATCAGAATCTGAAGAGTAGTCAGACTCAGGCCAGGGTGGTGCCAATGACGAGTGCTCTGCCACCATCGGAGGGGCGAACCTGGCCATAGATTCTGGCTTGCCCATGTGCGTGCGGCAAGGGCGTACCGGTGCTAAGAAGACAGGTCCCTGTGCCGCATGCAGCGTCTACGTGGAGCATGTGGACTGCAGTGCTGGTTGTGGGCGTGGAACTCCCAAGTCCAGTTGCCCCAAAGACAGCCCCCCATCGTTGCCCCTATGGACACCACAGCAGGCAGGACAGAAGTTGCAGGAGCTGTAGTGGTCGTCATCGAAGAGAGTGGCGTTATCGGCACCATCATGGCCCATGGGGCCGATGCCGGTACCTGCAGCAGTGCTGAAGAGCCCGGCGCCGAAGACTGAAGCGGCACCCCGGTCAAGAGGGTTGATGCCGGTGCCGTTGACAGTTCTGTTGATGGTGCCACAAGCTAAGTAATACGGTGCCATTGACGATGCCACAAGGCCTGAGTAATACCGCACCGGGGCAGCCAAGACCAGG